TTGTTCTGGGTGCAGTGGTTGTGTCCTTGAGAAATATCTACTACTGTGTAAGGTTTTGCTAACATATTATAATGTTACTGTTACTTAACTTTTAGCTTTTAAAAAGTGCTAGTTCAGCTTAATAAAAATATGCTGTTACAAAGATTTGTAAAGCACTGCCCAAGTATTGCTTTTTTGTTAACCCTGTAAGTCTTGCCTTATTATAATAAGTATAAAAGCTCGCCTCACCCTTTAGGGGGGGCCATTTTGCCTTTTGCTGGTTTTATGGTCTTTGCTCAAGCAAATAAACAGCTGTCTGTCTTTACCCGCGTTGTCTGTCTATCAAATTACAGCTAGACAACGAACCTTAGCGAGGTTTCTCCCACCACACAGCCCACGTGCAGCTCATTGTTTTGGGAGGGTGCTGCCAGCAGTAGTAGTCCTCTCAGGACCAATAAGGCAGGATCCTCAAATTGGGTAAAGGAACGGTACCGGTGAGTACCTCAGGTCAGGTATGTTTTTGGTTTCTATCTGGTTTCAGGTTTTCTGGTATAACCTCTAAAGGTCTCTGGAAGCAGTCTTTGAGGGTATCTGTCTGCTGATGAAACCGCTGTTAGAGCCAGCAGCCTAGCCGAAAGGCGAAAGACACAGATATAAGGTAGAAATGCTGTTATAACGGCCAATGACTAGGGTCTCGGACTCAAGACGCCCCTCCTCACGGAGAAAGCCAGCGGGGTCCGAGAACACCGGTTGTTGTACGTGGACGAAACAGCTTCTAGGCAGGTAGAACTTAGGGAAATAAGACTGCTTGTGCTTGGATATAATCATGGGTTCCGGTCTAGGGAAAGTCATTCCCGATTCACCCCTTGATTTTATGATTAAGAATTGGAAACATTTGGAGGGACGGGCAGAACTGTCCAAGTCTCGTATGGCAGAACTCTGTTTAACTAATTGGACGTCTTATACGTCCCAGTTAGATTTGGGAAGACAATGGCCAGAAAATGGATCATTTGACCTAAATCGCCTGGCTGCCTTACAAAAGGTCTTGGAAAACCTCCGCCCTGGCCAAATTGGTTATTGGTATTTATGGGACAACGTTGCTAGCAAGCAATCAAAACCTTTAGCTACCCTGACCCCTGCATCTTTCCCGAATCTGTTAGCTCCCCTTCAGTGTCCAAAACCTACTGCACCACCGTCATATTCAGAAGATGATTACAGACCCATGCCTAGGCCCCCTAACCTACCATTGATACCACCTCAAATGTTTAAACCCCAAAATATTGCCCCCTGGCCGGCCAAGGGACTGGGAAGTCTTCGGGAGGCATCACCTCGATTGTCTCTCTCAGAATCCCCGAGTCCCGGATCTGGAGAGGGATCCAGAGATCCCTCTCCAGATTCCAGTTCCACTCCGATTTCAAATCGCACTCGTCAAAAATTGTCTAAGCCTGCACTTCAGTTACCTCTAAGAGAATACCCTGTGCCTGGTGAGGGTGGAGAAGTTATCAGTCACTGGACACACGCTCCGTTCTCCACCACCGACCTCTTAAACTGGCAAGAAAACACCCCCAGGCTCAGAGATGATCCTGAAGTAGTTCTAAGACGCTTCAAAACCATTTTCATGACTCATAACCCCTCCTGGTCAGATGTCATGCAGCTTCTCGAAAGCCTCTTAACTACGGACGAGAAGACTCAAGTACTACGCCATGCTGACCAATTTCTAGCCGACCAGCCCCATGAAAACCACCCCATGCCTAATGGCGTTCCCAGACAAAACCCGAATTGGAATTACAATCAGGAAAGGGGGCAAAATTCAATACGAATGCTGAAAGACAGCATTTCAGAAGTACAAGGGGGTGAAGGGGCACCTCTGAACCTGGGCCCAGTGGTGGCCCATCACCACGTCAGGAACACAAGGGACATTCTGGGTACTGTAG